CAGTGCATTAACCCAGGAATTTTTCCGATCAGCATCTTTTGGAAACCGGTGAAATGAAGGTTTATTTTTTTTCATAAGTGTATGATGACCTATGATTAGTACACCCTACAGCTTCACAATTTCCCGGCATGTTTAACACGTAAAAACTAACCAAAAACAGCAAAGGATCTAAATGTGCCGATCGTAACATGCAATGCAATGTAAACACACGCAGTCGCCACACTCCAGCGTGTTTGTTTTCACTCCAGCGGCGTTGTCAAGCAGTTTCGTGACCTCGGGTCACGGAAAAGCCCGGATGTGCGACCACGAGAATAAGCACCAAATATGGCAAATAACACAACAAACCCCACAAGGTACTTCGCTAAATATCATGACATGAATATCAAACACTCTAAACTGAATATAGTGCCTTAGTCCCTAACTAAGACACTGAATTAGCCTAACAGTAGCTAATTTCGCTAAATATAATTCTTACAGAGTTGACCAGACAAGGAACAAAGTAACTGGAATACTGAGATTTGAAACGCACACAATCTACTCAAAAACACAAAATTCATTATGCCATCCAGACTCCAAAATTTCCCTACAGTATCTTAAGTATGTTATCTAAGATTTAACATGTAAATAATGGTACCTACAATTTATATTGCCTCCAAACTTGCAGTTGTATTTTAAGCAGTCAGTTTGTAATGCTTGCTGGCGGCCATTTTCTAGCCTTCCTTTCCCTACAGTGGCGCAATCTATTGGCGAAGCGTGAAACTAAATAGTCTGCAATATTCCGGCACCTAAATGTATACCTTCGTACATTTAAACAACACTTAACTAAAGCAGATTATAACTCCTGACAATGTCATCAATAACATGCAATAAGCCTAAGACCCCACTACCTAACCATAATACGATTAACGCAATCACGAGTACGCAACTCGTAACAAATGTCTCGTAACAAACATCTCATAGAGTTATTAATGTTCATTTTCATCCTGCCGTTGCTCGGACTCCAACAGGCACAATTTGTGGATAGGTCGCACCAACTCCGAACTGCCGGTCTTGACTTTCACAGTGCAGACTCTCCCATCCTTCCCAGGAAACGTCTCCAACACACGAGCCAACGGCCACAGGTTCCTGGGGTTGTTCTCCTCCAACACGAGCACAACGTCTCCGACTTCCAGGTTCTTCCTTGACTGAATCCATTTCTGACTGCTCTGGAGTGCAGGCAGATACTCTCTGGTCCAGCGGCGCTAAAACACATCGGCCAAGTATTGTACTTGACGCCAACGTCTGCTGCTATAGACGTCATTCTTCTGAAACTCTCTCGGAGGAGAGTGGGTCAATAGCTTCTCTGAACTCTCTTTCAGCTCCAACAAAGTGTCCTCCATTGACTGAGGTTATCTCCTTCGGCTGGCCCCTGCGACTTATAAATCTCTGCAGTGCATTCACAAATGATGGAGTGTCTAGCGAGTGTGTCACTTCAATGTGAATTGTGCTGAGTGCGGAACAAGTGAACACACAGCCATATCTCTTCTCCTGGTTCCGTTTGTGCTTGACAGTAGGTCCCGAAGAAGTCTACTCCAACGTAGGTAAATGGTGGTTCACCTGGGGTGACTCGCTTCAGGGAGTTCTGCCATTCTTTGGTCACACAACGGAGCAGTGCGTTGTCTGCAACTAAAGCAGTTGTTCAGCACTCTTCTTATTGTCGTCCTCTCATTGATGATCCAGTACCGTTTACGTGTTGTCGCCAAGACATATTCACGGCTTGAATGTCCAGACATCTCATGGCATTGTCTGACAATCAGGTCCACTATGTGATGTTTCTTAGGCAGGATCATCTGATGTCTAGCTTCTTCTGGGATAGGAGCATTTTTCAGTCGTCCTCCAACAAGCACTCCCTTCTGTGACATGACAGGCAATAAACGGTATATTGCGCTTGTCTTGGGAACTGGGCCCTTTGCTGGTTCAGTCTCTTTCTGACGATCAAGTAATTTGATCTCTTCTGGGAAGTTTTGTCCCTGGACATACTTGACGATTTCCAGACCAGCATTTTCAATTTCGTCCACTGACGGTGGGCCCTTGTCCATTTCTTCTGGCTCTCTCTTAGCTTTGTTGCGCAGCCATTTGTTCACTCTCAGTATTCAGGCAACATCCTTCAAGCGATGCCAAGAAGAACCTCTCTCCAACAGCCTATCGATCACTGAGATCACTTGGCCCATTTGCGCTAAGCAGGTCTGCACCTTCTTGACTTCCGAGTCGTTATCTGGTACCTTCATGTGCAACGCTGGCGTTGCAGGCAATTCAGCTTCTTCCCTCTTTAGGAACTCGGGTCCATGTAGCCATCTATGGTCGTCTAGCAGTTCATTAGCTGACAAACCCCTGGATGCCTCATCGGCCGGGTTAGACTTTGTGTCTACGTAACTCCACTGTGACGGTGTCGACCCATCTCGAATGGTAGCAACCTTGTTGGCAACGAATGTCTGATAACGTTTGTTATCATTGTTGATGTACTTCAGGACTGTCATGCTGTCAGTCCAGAACACTGATTCTCCAACTGGCAGCTCAAGATCTCGGCGAATCATGTTGTCTAATTTGATGGAGAGTGTTGCTACTGTCAGTTCTAATCTGGGTATGGGCACTGACTTGATGGGAGCAAGACGGGACTTGGCCAGTAGAAGGTGACACTGTATCTTGCCCTTCATGTCTACCACTCTCGGGTAAGCGGTCACACCATATGCTGCTTGAGAAGCATCAGAGAGATAGTGAATGCGGCATTCAGCTATCTTCTCCATTGCCAGTGGTTTCACACATCTGGGAGCCTTGAGGTTCTCCATCTTCGGGAGGTCATCTCTCCAATTCAGCCATCTGTCTAACTCTCCGTCTGGCAATTTCTCATCTCAGCCAAGTTTCTGACGACTCAAGTCTTGGATGATCATCTTCGCCTTCAAGGTGTATGGACTCGCAAAGTCTAGTGGGTCGTATACTGAACTGACCACACTTAGCAGTCCTCGTCTCGTCAGCGGCTTGTCCTTGGGTGTGATCTTGAAACAGAAACTGTCTTACTTTATATCCCAATACACACCAAGGGCTCTCTCGACAGGTAGGGCTTCATGGTTAAGATCCAATCCCTTAACTTCTTTGGCTCTATCCTCTTCAGGGATGCACGCCAACACATCTCGGTCATTGCTGATCCATTTTGTCAGCTTGAATCCACCAGTGGCTACCAGCTCTCTGAGCTGCCCAACCAATTTTATTGTAGATTCGACATCAGGCAGTGACTTCAGGCAGTCGTCTACATAGAAGTTTTTTATGATTGTTTCTGTGGTGTCTGGATCACACCCTGGCTAGTTCACTGTGGCAGTGTGCTGTAGAACGAAGTTACAGCAACTGCGACTCCAGGTACCTCCGAAGAGATGAACCGTCATGTTATACACAGCTGGTTCCTGTTGTAAGTCCCCACCAGGCCACCACAGGAATCGCAGGACATCTCGATCTTCTAGCGTGACTCTCAATCGATGGAACATTGCCTCTATGTCGGCCATCACTGCAACTGGTTCTTGGCGAAAACGAAGTAGCACACCCAGTAAGCTATTGGAGAGGTCCGGCCCCTGTAACACTTGGTCATTGAGGGAAGTGCCCCGATACTCAGCGACACAGTCCAACACAATCCTCACTTTCTCTGGCTTCTTTGGGTGAAATACTGAGTGATGTGGCAGGAACCAGATTCTCCCTTTCGTACCATCATCACTGGCTTTATCGACCTTCTCGGCATAACCCTTGTTGATCAACTCCTCCACGAAGGTTGTGTAGGCACGATGAAGCTCTGGGTTGCGGCTCAACTTCCTCTGGAGCGTCTTCAGTCTCTGCTCGGCTATATAGCGGTCATATGATAGAGATGGTGGCCTTGCTTTGAATGGAATTCTGTTCTTGTAATGGCGATCATCATGTTGAACAAGCGATTCTTCCCAAATGGAAACCGCCTTTCTGTCATTGTATGATGGAGCCAACTTGTCATCTATCATGGATTCACCGCCTTCGATCTTCCAGAATTGCTCCAGTTGCCGATCTAGATGATTAGTTTGGGCATAGCTCACAGTAACTTTGTGTCTGCGAGCGCCCCCTAGCGGACCATTTAGGGTCCAACCAAGCAAGGTTCTAGTAGCGTAGGGCTCGCCCTTTTTTCCCTTTACGAATTTCTCTTGGGAGAAGGGCCTCGGAGCTGTCTTGACCAATCAACAGCATAACCTTCTCGGCGTCGACTTGAGGCAATTCTATGTCTTTGAGATGCCTCCACCTTTGGATGTCTTCTGGCTTCGCCATGTTGTCCAGATCGATGGGCAACACGGGCCTTGTGAAGACACTCGGCAAGTCTACGATATGCTTTCCTCCTACTTCGTGAACTTCTAAACTGACGATAGTAACTCGCGTTTCGCTGTCAGCCTTCTCTAGGGTTGTCAGGGACATTATCTGTGCGCTTTTGCCCTTTTAACTTAAGCTTCTCTTGCCAATCACTTAACAGAATGAGTGG